TTTAAAAAACAAAACAAAGATGAAAACGAGAACATAAGTTTCCATAACGAGAACAGAAGTTTCCTATTGGAAAGCAGAGCACTTTAAACTCTCTTTGGACAAACGACTGTTGGCGAATCCCTCATCCAAGATCAGATGCACAACTACAACTACAAATTCACTTAACCACGGTAAATCTCTCTCTATTGCCTGATCAATATGAATGGTGGCCTGATGAAGTAAAAGCTACAATCTATGCAACCGGAAATTTTTATAAGCAACCAAAGGATAGGAGAGAACTTGTACCGTGGTCTAGGATTGTCTGGTTCTCTAGTGGAATTCCCAAGCATAGATTTTTGGTTTGGCTCTTTACTCTTAACAGATGCCCCACAAGGGATCGGATTCTTGGCTGGGGACTCCAAACAAACCCCTCATGTCTCTTGTGTGCTGCTGCAAATGAATCATGTGACCATTTATTCTTTCAATGCCCTTTCGCATGGACAATTTGGAAAGAAATTGCAAGGAGAGTTACCTTACATCCAATAAGACAATGGGTTTCTCTACAAACTATTAGTGGAATGAAAGCCATCAAAACCCTTCAACTAATTGCCTGGCAAGCTTCGATCTACTGCCTTTGGATGGAGAGAAACCATCGCCTTCACCAGAACGAATTCAAATCTGGAGAATCTATCATCTCTACCATTAGTGGCTTCATCAAAAATAGAGTTTCGAGCTTGTGACCAAGCCGACCTGTAGTTGCCTCTGAAATGATGTAGCTTTGGTTTCAGGGAACATCATCAACTGCCCCAGTTTGATCTCTCCTCTTCCCTTCACGACTGCTGAAGAAATCAGTTGCCTGGTTCGGTACATCAGCATCAACTTAATTCTGGTTCGATTTTTGACTACTGGTTTGGTTTTGGTTCAAAATTAACGGGGCCTATTTAGTTACAGCCCATTTCTCATGTAATTTGGTTCACTTTCATTTCCAATTTGTGTATTATAGTTTTATTGGGCCACTTGGTCTTAAAAAAAAAAACCACAACAATAAGGCCAAAAACATTTTATTTCTCATGCTTTAAATAAAAGAATATTTTCACAAATTTTTTTTTTTCCATAACTTCATTTTTGTTTTTGATAAAAAAACTCATAACTTCATTGCTATTCGAGTCAAATAGAAAACCTCAATGATAGAATTATACTAACTAATAGGAGTTGTTTGAGCCTCTTTAGGCTAACTCCACAATGATGTCACATCGGATCCAATTATAAGCAAAAATAAACTATTTATGTAATACAGTAAAAGTCATGATAATCCATCTTCCCCA